CGTGTGCATGGAAACCAATCAGCTTACAGGTTTTATTGCTAAAGCTTAATTAAACAAGCTGAGGTTAAAAGCGGATTGGCTACCATGCACAGGTGAATGAGATTCTGAGTGAATCAGCGTTAGTAAATAAACGCCACTGTGCATTCCAATACAATACATCCTCGATTATTGTATTGTGCTGTTAACGTGTGATTTTCTGGCATCCATCTAGCCACCAAACATCTCCCAATTTTATGCATTAATGGCCATTAATTGCCTAGGAGACAGTCTGTTCAGGCATCTTGTGCTTTGGTCTGGCAACTGTAACCTGTCTTTAAAAGAATTAACTAGAGCTCCGATTGTAATAATAGTGAAACTTCTATCATCCCCAATCATGCCTCCCTTTCACTCAGAGATTACTTTATGCCCATTCTTGGTAATCTAATGTATACAAAATGCGCTTTCACACAAGCAAATGGCAAGTGTGGGCCAACATCTAATTGTTGTCTAAGTCAAATGTCAAAATGAAACCAGGTCTCTCCAAAGTGAATTAAATGAATTACTATGGAAAAAAACATCAAATAAGTCATTGCAGGTCCTACCACCTTAAAGTTAGCATTTAGTAGATGCTCCATTGGCAGTAATTAAAGTGAATGTTAACCCAACATTTCATATTTCTAATTTGTGCCTATTGTACCATGTACCTGTATGAAAAAGTATCCTGTCCTCTTTGCATTGATTCATTTGTGTGAAATACCTGCTAATTCTGCCAGCCCCCCCATGCTTTCCTAGTTAAAACTGATCACGCCAGGCATGGAAGAAGATACTTCTCTTTGTGGACAGTTTTCTTCCTTGCATCCTACTTGGGAGCACAGCCTTACATGTACTCCAGACTGTGCTAACAGGCCCCCCCCTGCACATCTCCTCATTGGGAAGATCAGTGTACTGCTGCTTCTCTGCCTCCTGCTGAGATGCCCGTTGGCAGTCTGTACCCCCACCTCTCTAGAGCTCCACTCTAGACAGGAAACGTGACCTCCATTTTTTTTTTTTGCTTTTTAAATCAACTTTAACACAACAACAAACAACCAATAGACATAATCATTCTGAAACAAGACATATGCTAACGTAATGAATCAGCTTATTTAACCTTATAAATGAAAATAAACATAATACACTGGGAATGAACATTAATCCCTTCCCAATGATGACAGAATTATTCCATCAAGATTTTTCAAATGGCTCGTGACGGGTGACAGAATAATTCTGTCATCTGGTAAAATTAACCCTTGATCACTGTGTATGACATACCCTGTAAATCAGGACAAATGAAGGATTTTTTTTCAATTACTTTTCTTTAGCTGCAGTAATTATACACACTTTATTACTACCTAAATTAAAAAAAAAAAAATGTCAACATTTTTTCTGGCCTTAGGCTACTTAAAATTTTTCTGAAGCTGAATCACTAAGGGGTTAAGAGCAAGAAAGCATGAAAAATGTTTAGTTTTCAGAATTATTGTGTCTATTGGTTGTTCATTACATTAAAGTTGATTAAGAATCTTTGTCTCATTTTTTTACATCACAGAAACCTGACATATATATATATATATATATATACATAATATATATATATACACACACACACACATTATATATATATATACATATAACACATATATATATACACACACACACACACACACACACACACACACACACAAAAAAATAAAAATATATATACACAAAAACATAATACATATAAATAAATACAAACAAAAAAAAAAAAAACAAAAGAAAAAAAACATACCAGTAAGTTTTGTTTAAAAAGTAAAAAAAAAAAAAAGGCTTAATGCATTTCTAAAAATACACAAAATATAACTGGATATTAATATTTATAGGTAGTAGTACCTAGTTGATCCAGGGATTATCTAATTGCCTCCAATTCCCCTCACTGGAGTAAAGTGGATCATGCTTTATTGGGGCTTTTTGCCTTCCTTTGTATGAGCTGCGGGTATAGCATTGTTTACCTGGAGGTTTTCTATTTTTCTTTTTTTTTTTCTAGTGGTTGAACTAAATGGACTTGTGTCTTTTTTCAGCCCAACTATGTAATTGAAAAACAAAAAGTGTAAATTCAGCCAAAAGAATGTTTGAATTTTCTCTCTACTGACAACATTCTAGAACAGAGCATATGCAAAACAATCCAGTATTGCCACCTGCTGGTAACCAATCATTGAGGTTTGTTGTGATTTGTAGAAAGTAACCAACTTATCTCTAAAATAAATGACATCAAAGATTGTCAAACAAACAAGTAAAATAGCAAAAGCAAATAAATTATGCTGAGCATTCTTAAAGCGGAGCTCCACCTAAAAGGAGAAGTTCCGCTTTAAGCCTTTGTCCCCGGCTCCCCATTAAGGATTGGCACCTTTGAGGAGCGGGTACCCGAATTTGACAGGTACCCACTCCCACTTGCCTAGTCAGTCGGAAGTTGTCCTCTCCCCCCCTCCCTCCCCGTAGTCTTCTGGGACACGTGACAGGTCCCAGAAGACTACAGAGCCATTCACAAAGTGCAGCGCTTCTCGCGCATGCGCAGCAGGCACCCGGCAGTGAAGCTGCAAACTGTCACAACCGGGTGCCCACACTGAAGTCAGCAGATACAGTTTTTCTAGCTGCTGACTTTTATTTTTTGTTTTTCCAGGTGGCTTTAAATACAAAAGCTCTCCTCAGACACATTCAACCACTGACAACAAAGCACTCCCCTCCTACATACTAAGAAAATACACATGCTTTTAGTCCTTGTGTGCAACGGCTCCTGACCAGCATTTGTGAAGCTGTACTTGAAGGTATCTGTCTGACTTCTGATTCTCAAGCCTATATCCATGAACCTTTAACGCCCATTTAAAGTGTTACTAAATCCACAACAATAAAATCAGCCTGTAAATGCAGAAAAGCATGCTTGTTATACTCACTGTGGAACTGAAAGCGGAGCTCCACCCAAAAGGGGAAGTTCCGCTTTAAGGACTGCTCCCCCGCTCTCATTAAGGATTGACACCTTTGGGGAGTGTGGGGGAACAGGGAACGCATACCCGAATTTGACAGGTACCCGCTCCCACCACAGAAGGTGTCCTCCCTCCCTGTAGTCTTTTGGGACACGTGACAGGTCCCAGAAGAATACAGGACCATTCATGAAGCACAGCGCTACTCGCACATGTGCAGGGGGTACCGGCTGTGAAGCCGCAAGCTATCACAGCTGGATGCCCACACTGAAGATGCCGGCCTCCTGGAATACAGGACGGCCGGTGAAACGAGCTGCAGGGGACACGCCGCAGGACCGAGGGACAGGTAAGTGGCTGTTTTTTTTAAAAGTCAGCAGCTGCAATTTTGGAGCTGCTGACTTTTTTTTTTTTTTATAGGTCGAGTGGAACTCTGCTTTAAGGGGTTAATCCTTCGCATTGTGTAAAAAGGATGTTTGATCCAATCTTCTCTGATCCTCCCCTTCTAGTGTCTACTGTCTTCTACTGCTAGAAGAGAGTCTTGCAGGCAAGTTGCACATGCTTAGTTTGCAGTCTATTGCTAGAAAGTTTTTTTTTTTTTTTTTTTAAATTGGGAGAGTGCATGTGATCAGCACAGGGCGAATCAGCACTGTCCAGACAGAGGGTCAGGGGTCCTGCAGCCTTATAGGGCAATCAGGGGAGAATGAAAAAACTCCTCCTACAAGCTTTAACCAGTGCTCTGCTGGACACTGATAGAAGTCAGAAGAATGCTCTAAACGCTGATGAGAAAAGGTATTCAGCAGTTTGTATTTACTAAAATAACTGCATTTACATGATCTGTGTACTGTGGAAGACTGGATATAGTGAATGAAGGGGCCTTGGTTTAGTAACACTTTAAATCCTGGTGTGTTGTGCCAATGTGTGTTTTCTTCATGGGCTGTGTTAAGGCAGCTCATTCATTTGAATTGGTAACACACCAAAATGACCACCAAACAATAGACATGCAGCATTTTGTGGTGCCCTGCAATGCACCTTTGTTGCCTTAGTGTGTTAGGGTGCCCTTGAAAATGAATGGTAACATGAATTGCCAAAATGCCATCCCAGCAGAAAATTGTGTTTTGGCCCTTATTGACATTATGATCAAAAGCACATTGCGCCTAATGCTCAATTTTCACTCCATCTCTCATCAGTGTCCTGCTATTTCATTCACCTTCGAAAACATACATGGGCCTAATTGTTATTGGATGTCTTTCAAGGTACAGAACAACATTAAATGCTATCCATCATGTCTGTACATCAGCACGCCCTAACACAAGGTCTTTTCAAATCCTTAAGCCAATGCAAAATATTTGGAGTATGCGTTTTGTAACCTATAGCTGAACTCCAGGAAAACTTAAAAACTACCACTGAATTGGGGCTCCTCCCTGCACTGCAAGGATTAAATGTTCATTATTGTTTAAAGCATTAATAACAACTTTATTCCTTGCTTTCCCAGCACAGTCCTCTCTGATCCTGCATGTTGTGGGCATCCCTCCATAAGTCCTCACTTACAATGCAGGACTGCTGTTCCTGCAATGTATGTGATGACAGGGTAGGACTGTTGGATGGCGCATCAAAGGGAAGCTTTTACAAGGGACCAGTTGTAGAGAAAGGAGAAAGCCTGTATGAGTGAGGAATAAGGCAAATAAAACCACTGTTTAAAAAGTACCCTTGACACAAGTGAGCATTTAACCCTTGTCCCATTAATGAAGATTTCCTCTCATCTTTGAAGTTGATCTGGATCAGCCAGAACGTGAATAAATATTTAGAGACAAAGGCATCTATTAACAGTGAAAGCATTTAAAACTTTACCATTTTACATACTTGGCTACAGTTGGGCTTTATGGATTTACAGTGTTACACTCTGCTACCACTATTTATGGAATATGCTATATGTGGTCTACTACATTAATAGCATACAAAAAAAAAATGCTCTTTAGGATATGTCATACAAAACACATTTCTGCTCATTTCAAAATTATTATGAACACTTACCGGCATGGTTTTGTCACCAAAGAAGTATGTTTTGGAAAATCCTTCTTTTTCAAGAATTCCCAGACAGTAAGTCTTGTCCCAGCCATTAGGGAACACATCAAAGCTAATCTGTCCACCTGTTTAATAAGAAATATTTCTTTTAAACCACTTGCCTACAGGGCCAATTCTGATATTTCTCTCTTACATGTAAAAATCTATTTTTTTTTTTGCTAGAAAATGAAATTAAAACCCCAAAACATTATATTTTTTAAGCAGAGGCCATATAAAATAAAATAAAATAATGACTGTTGCATTTTTTTAATGTCACACGGTAGCTGCACAGTGTTTTCTTAAATGCAAATTTCTTTTGTGATAAAATACAGGTTACCAGTTTAGAGTTACATAGGGGGGTCTGGCTTTAGAAGTATTACTCTAACTCTGAAGTTTGCAGCAATATCTCACCTGTGATGCCATCACTGTTTACACATCTGTGTGGGACCGACACAAGCATTCACCTATGCGCATGAGCACAGGGAGACGCATGGCGCTCTAAAATTTTTTTTTTTACATTTTATTTATTGTTACACTGTACCTTTTTTTTGGATCACTTTTATTGCTATAAAAAACAGGATGAACAACATCCCTTGTGATAGCATGGGCCTTGACAGGTCCTCTTTATGGAGAGATCTGGGATCTATTAGAACCCAGATCTCTCCTCTGGCCTTCAATGCCGCCGATCAGACACAGATTGATCTGATCGGCTGCTTCACTGGCCGCTAACTAGCTAGTAAACACAGAACCGAAACCGGAAGTGACCAAATCCTTGTCGCTTCCGGTTTCTGATGTAACACAGTGGGAGAAACAACATCAGCTCCTCCCACTGTGTCTTTACCAGGCTACTCGATCACACAGGAGGGCCTGGTACAGAGTGCAGGAAGGTGATGGGACCCCCTTCTGTCATCTGTAAAGGTAACCCTGCGGCTGCATAGCCACTCAGATTACTTTTCCGTAAAAGAGAATCGCCTACTTGACTAAATTTTACCAGATCACGGTTATAGCCTCAACCATGCTCCCGGTATAACCACTTCAATACCAGCCTATATATATATATATATATATACACATACATACATACATACATATACATATATATATATACACACACACACACACACACACACACACACACATACACGTAAGATGGTGTGGATGGGATTAAAAAAAAAAAAAAAAAAAAAAAAAAACCACCACATTAATAGCATTTCGATTAAAATGTCTCCATGTTAGGATTTGGAAAGAAATGTGCAAGCAATCAGACTCTCTATATCAAGCAACAGAAAGTACAAGCAGGCACAGAATTAGGAGGCTTTTAGTTACAAGCTAAAAGCCTCCATTTATTTTTTCTTATGCATAAGGTTTAGTGTTTTTATCAGATTCTCACAAAATATAGCTGAGTTGCAAGTAAGTTGGTGAACTTGTCAGGCACTAACACAGCCAATTAATATTAATGTGTAATATTTTTAATACAATCGTGTTCACTACTGCTTTTTTATTTGGGTAATTAAGAAACAGCGATTAATATTTTATTCCACTTTCAGACAGCAGGATCAGTTTTAGTCTGTTTACAGAACTCAAAAACTCAAGCTAAAAATTATCAATTAAAAACTTTGCATGATGATGCCTAATGAATGGGAATGTCCATCAACTGGGTCCTCCATACTGTAAATTTTTCTTCTGTGTGTTTCATATGAATCTTTTCTACAGTGGACCAGTAATGAGGTCACAAATTGTTGACATACATTACCTATTGAAAATGTTAAACCCTTCCCTTGAAATTCCTTCCGTAAATCCGCCACAAACTTCTCTCTAAACTGTTCCTTCTGTAAAGAAGAAAAAATGTAATAGCAGTAGCAATGGCACTCAAAAGAGGAGTAGATACATACTGATATATACAGTTGCAAGAAAAAGTATGTGAACCCCTTGGGAGTACGTGGAGTTTTGCATGAATTGGGCATAAAATGTGCTCTGAACGTCATCTAAGTCACAACAATAGAAGAACACAGTCTGGTGAACATAATACTACACAAACATTAGATGTTGCCATGGTTTAATTGCACATAACATGTAAACATTCACAGTGCGGGGGAGGAAAAAGTATGTGAACCTTTGGACTTAATAACTGGTTGACCCTCCTTTTGGCAGCAATAACCTCAACCAAACGTTTCCTATAGTTGCAGATCAGACCTGCACAACGATCTGGAGTAATTTTGGACCACTCCTCTTCACAAAACTGTTTCAGTGTAGCAATATTCTTGGGATGTCTGGTGTGAATCGCTCTCTTAAGGTTGCTGATATAACAAAATGCCTTGTTTTTATTTGCTCATTGTGAGTGTGATTTTAAGGGGGGTTGGTTTGGCAATAAATTTGTTGGATGATACTGCACTATGGCGAGTATTTTCTTTACCCACATGTGCTAATCTGGATATGAGAGGATCTTCTCTGGAGTTTGTTTGGTGATATGCTGGATACATAGTAGTATGCTGAGTAATTACCAACACATGAGGATCGTCCTTTGAGGTCTGTTTGGTGAATGCTGGATATATACTAACATGCTGGTAAATTACTAGCACATGGTGAGTGTGCTCTGATGGGGTGTTTTTGAGCACTGAATACCACATTGCTTATGAAGGAGGAGCTCATTACTTCATTTACTGAGGATCATGTTTATATGGACTTTTCTGAATGGACTATATTGAGATTCCCTATTTATTGATTTTTTTGTTTGCACTATTAATATGCACTTATTTGGTGGTGGTTGGTTATATTTAGTTGTGCGATTTGGTTTGCGCTATTATTTGTGATGTGTATTTTTCACATTTTTATTATTTTGAGTTTTTATTAATAGCAGCATCCAGTGAGTGTATTTCCTCTCTTTATTACATTGGCGTAATGATGTTGGTATAATAGAACTGTTGTATTTATTGGAACATTTCTTTGGTAACTAACTTTTTAGTGATTGGAAGTGGTTAATAATGAACAGAAAATTGAACAGAATTTGGTTCAAGACAGGACCCTGGGGCACAGCACTCACAACTTTAGACCATTTAGAGAATGAGTCATTTGTCACCACTTTCTGGACCCATTCAACCTATCCATGTATATTTTCAACAATTCTAACACAACTTTTTTTTTATAAATTAAGTTGTGCCTTTAGGAGGCACAATTTCACTTGTAAATTATAGATAAACTACGTCCACTGAACTTCCCCCGATTTCTCACTCCTCACTTCTTCATTGTACTATAACTGGTTGATCTGACAAGAAGTCTTTCAGAAATCCATGCTGGTTGTTACTTATAATACCATTATTGCTGACAAATTTCTATACAGTCCCTTACTATCCCCTAAAATATCTTACACACTATTGATGTTAGGCTGACATATTAATTTATTCATTTTTTTCTATTGGCTGATCTTGCGTCTTGTTTTAAGCCAGCTATGTAACTATGAATAAATGCAGAATCAAGAAGCAGTGGAATGACTACACAAAGCACACAAAAAAATGTCATCCTTCATTTCTACAATTACCCCTTATAGAAGTCATGGCAACATCTCTTGCTCTCACAAACACACATTGGCAAAAGGAAGACAGAGCTTGATGGGAAAGTGAAAAAAAACTGTCAGACTTATTAATGAGACCAGGATCAGGTCAGATTTCTTAAATGCACAGCTGTTTATTTGTATCTGTGTATGAGACCTCACTTTCTGCAGCATTAGGCAGAAAAAAGAAAAGTTTGGTACTACGCTGCAAGAGTAAGGATCTTAGATCAAAAACTATATGCAAAGACAAAAAGAGGGGTATATGGCACAATGAGCAAGGTCTGAAAACTGATGTAATAAGTTCAGCAAAAAGCACAAATTCAATTGAAACATCTGGAGTGACTTCTTGCTGGCCTCAAACACTTGATGTGGCTCTGGGTGAACAGATAGAGAAAGGAGAAGGCACGATTTAAGTCTTAGATCATGCTCTCTTCTCTTTATCTGCAAGAACAATATGCACTGGGTGCACATCATGTTGTCAGAAGCCATTGATCAGTGCTGAACACAATAGGGATTTGATATATGGCACAATTTACTGCAAGTCAGAAAGAAAGAAAGTTTAATAGCATTATATTAATATCATTGACATTATAGATTACCCTACTACAGAGCCCACCCACCCCCATTTTATATATATATTTATATATATATATATATATATATATATATAAAATATAAAAAAGTGAACTGAATAAACATTTTTCCTGAAGCAAGAATTGTTTGCTGGTTCAGATATCAAGTCAATTATTTCTTCTGGGGTGTCCAACTTTACAAGAAGCTAGAAGGTTCAATCACCCACTAGTATGCTCTATTACAGAGACTCAGTTTGATGTACGTTAACCACTTGCCTTCCGGGCACTTTTACCCCCTTCCTGCCCAGGCCAATTCTCAGCTTTCAGCGCTGTTGCACTTTGAATGACAATTGCGTAGTCATGCAACACTGTACCCATATGACATTTTTATAATTTGTTTTACACGAAGAGCTTTTTTTTGGTGGTATTTAATCACCACTGGGTTTTTTATTCTTTGCACTATAAATGAAAAAAACAGCAAAAAAAAAAGTTTCTTTGTTTCTATTATAAAATTTTGCAAATAGGTAAATTTTCTTCTTCACTGATCTGCGTTGATGAGGCCGCACTAATAGGCAGCACTGATGAGGTGAACCTGGTGGGAATTGATGAGGAGGCACTGAGAATGCTGCACTGATGGGCACTGATGGGTGCCACTGATGGGCACTTGGGGCTGCACTGATAATCAGGGCACCGATAAACAGTGCCTTGATTATCAGTGCAGATGTCCTCTGTGACACTTGTTGGTTATCGGCAGTACTTTCCTCATGCTGTGACAGCGTGGGGAAAGTGCTGCCGATAACCGGCAACTGTATTTACTTTGTGATCAACTGTGTCATTGGATACAGCTGATTACGTGGTAAAAGGCCGCTGTGATTGGCCTTTTACCTTGTCATGTGATCAGCTGTGTCCATCCTAACCCTCTTGTATTGAACTGTATCGTTGCTGTATTGTCTCCCTTCATATTGTAAAAACGCTGAGCAAACTGTTGGCGCTATATAAATCCTGTATAATAATAGGACACAGAGATCCCAGACAGCGCCGGGTGCGCATTCTGGGAGGACGTCATATGACTCCCTCATAGAACTGGGCAACCATGCGGTAGCCGTCATTCGGCTATAGCCCGGTTGTCAAGTAGTTAAGGGTAGAAATGTAATTGTCAACAATGGCGGCACAAAATTGTTAAATGAATACATGTAAATCCTGTATGTGATGCATTTGTTTTTCAACTTATATGTATACAATACTGTGACAATATTCAAACAAGATACTATTCCATGTACCTTATCCAGTTCAAAGAATTCAATGCGTTCTTCCTGGGTACAGTTTCTTCCAATGGGAGAGACATTTAGCATCCCATTTCTAAACTCTATAAAAGTGCCCCTGAAATCACAGATAAACAGAAAATCTCTAGCAAAATAATAATAATATTAACTATATAATATTAAAGTAGAACTTTAGTCAGAAAATTAAGTCCTGCCAGATCACTTAGGGATGGCCCCTTTTCCAGGTATAGCTATGTAAAACATTAAAAAGATGTGCCTTCACTGTTTACAATCCAGTAATACAAGGTCTCAAGCTGCTCTGCACATGTCCACTTGCTCTCTATTGTTTGGCACTGCACCGAATTTGTAGAGGACAATCTGCTGACAGCCTAAGAATTTACTGCTGCTCAGGGGCTCTGGGCTTCAGCAAAGTGCCAGCCTTCAGTAAAAAGAAACACAAATTATGCTGAAGGCAATAGAAGTGCAGGCAGATGTTCTTTAGTAACATGGTACATGTTACACCCTAAATACAGGTGTAGCATATAAAATGTTACTAAAGATGAACTTATCGCTCCAACTTAAAGGACGTATATCCTGAGGTTGTATACAGTAGAAGATTGCCGACAGCTTGGAAAGCGCTTACAAAATGGAGGTAGACAAAGTTACAATACAATTCAATACAAGGGGAGTCAGAGGGCCCTACTTGTGATAGCTCACAAACTAAAACGGAGGGTCAAGTAATACAAAAGGTAATAATTATAAGGATAAGCTGATGGAGGAAGTAAAAGTACAATTTAATAGTTAAAAGCAGGATAGGCCTTCTTGAAGAGATGGGTTTACATGGATCATCAAAAGGCCAAAGACAGTAGTAGATAGTCCGACAGGTTAGAGTAAGGAGTTCTAGAAAATTGGAGGAGGCACCAAGGGAGCCAAAGAGGAGGTCTTGGAGGGAAGAAAAAGGCTTGATTGGTATTCCCAGACAAGGTTTTTGATGTACAGTAGCTCAGGGCAGAGTTGTGGATGGATTTGTAGGTTGCAGTTAGTATTTTGAATTGTATTTAATGATGAACAGTAGCCAGTGGAGGGATTGGCAGAGAGAGTTAGTGGATGCTGAACTGAAAACTTTTTTTGCCCTGAATAGGCAAATCACAGATTTGACTGAAGTATACACTTTGTTTCACTTAATCAGCACAAATGTACTCCTCACATCTGTACCAGCTTGGAAGAGAAGGGCAAATGTGAAAAGGACATAACTGAATTAAATCAGATTTAAACACAACTTTGACATTGATGCATTCACATTTTTCAGTCCATTTAGGGAAAGGTTAGTTTAACACACCTTTTCTTTGGTAGTTTGAGTTTGGCGATGTATCCTAGGCAATAGTTGATTAGATCTTGCAACACATCTTCCCCCAAGTGTGCATGGATGCTCTGCAATATGTGTATTATACCCAATAAAAAAAAAGTCATAATAATAAGACACAATAATCCCTATAATAAAACCATAAAATAAAGTGTTGGCTACACATACACTGTAAATCATAATAAAAACAAAATGCTTACCTCTTTTTAAAAATAAGCAATTTTTTGCATTTGAAAACTCTCCCAACCCAGGTACTGTAATCAGCCGAAAATGTATTATGAAATCCATATAAAAATGATTAATATGAATCATCTCAGTTACCAATATAAATGTAACCATCTTCAATTAGACTGCTAAAACAATCTTACAGCTTGTAAAAATACATTATGTAGGTCTCATTGCTGCCATTTTCATTGCTACCCACTTGTTAGAATTTGCTCACTCCCCTGACTTCAAAAGGAATTCCTCTTACAACAATAGTGAATGCAACAAAAGTAGCAAGGGAGTTTTTCAGTAGAATTGTATAGTGCTTAATCTTAAAATTGAGGATGCCAAGTCAACTGTGTTTTACCCAAAGTCAGCATCCCTTTTCTGCAAGTAAAGCAATATTACTTTTTACAAGGTCCTCTATGTGAGCTGGAGTGCTCATGTACACAGATTTAGTTGCAGATGTAAAGGCAACAGCATTAAAAGCCTGTATCTGTGGTGCCCAGGAGCCCCAGGTGCTTCGTAACTCTGTCTACAGGAATTAATTACAGCAAATATGGTGTACGTAGATATACAAATATAAATGCCGGTATTTGCTTATGTACATATTCTCCCAAATTTGAAACTTGCACGTTTGGGAACACGCCCATACACATGAACCTTCAAAAACACAAGTACTGGCATTCACACTTCTATACCAGGGTAGAACAACTTTTTAAATTCATTCCTATAGGAAAAATTACACAGCAGCTGGGGCTCCCAGGTGCTGTAAATACAGGCATATTTTTTTTAAGGTACACCCACACAAATATGCCTGTGTGCATGAGCTATAATAATCTACCAGAAATTGGGAAAATAAACACACCTACTTAAAAAAATAATTCAGAGAGCTTTTATTTGTGGAGGAAACTTTGCAATAGGGTTACCACAAGCAAAAATTTCCAGATTCCCTGTCCTTTCTCATGTGTATACACAAATCTTTTGTGCTGGACTTTATATAAGATGTGGAAGATTGGAGACCATCTGATTAGTGAATAATCATGAGTCATTACAGTGCTACTCACTTTTTTAAAATTATAATTAAAATTGTCTGAAAACACAACACTGACCTGTTTGCATAGAAACTGTCCATCCTTGTATGCAACAAGCCCATTTTCAGAGAGAACACATAATCAAACTTTTCAACCACTGAAATAACAATAAAATGTTTTACTGAGCCTCCATGTAAAAACACAATGAAAACATTTTCAATAATGTACAGTATGTGTGTATTTATATTACTGGGAAGACAGTTACATAGCTGTGAAGGTTAATTAAAGTAAATGACAGTTTTGTTGATAAAACAAATTCCCCTCCAGGCGACCTTTAGTACACCCCATCTAGTACACTCATCACTTTCTCAAAGTTGATAACCTGGCAATGGGAAACAAAATGCAGGCAGCCAGCTCTCCACATCTTCAAAAGTTTTGGAATTTAGGAAAAACAAAACAAAATATGTGGTGTACATAATTTTTTTATATTATATATATATATATATATAACATATATATATATATATACACATATATATATATATACACATATATATATATATACACATTATATATATATATACACATATATATATATATACACATATATATATATATATATATATATATACACATACACACATACACACACACACACATACATATACATATACACATACACACACATACATACATATACATACACACATATAGGCAAAAAAGTATTTAGTCAGCCACCAATTGTGCAAGTTCTCCCACTTAAAAAGATGAGAGAGGCCTGTAATTGGCATCATAGGTAGACCTCAACTATGAGAGACAAAATGAGAAACAAAATCCAGACAATCACATTGGCTGATTTGGAAAGAATTTATTTACAAATTATGATGGAAAATAAGTATTTGGTCAATATCAAAAGTTCATCTCAATACTTTGTTATATATCCTTTGTTGGCAATGACAGAGGTCAAACGTTTCCTGTAAGTCTTCACAAGGTTGGCACACACTGTTGCTGGTATGTTGGCCCATTCCTCCATGCAGATCTCCTCTAGAGCAGTGATGTTTTGGGGCTGTCGCTGGGCAACACGGACTATCAACTCCCTCCACAGGTTTTCTATGGGGTTGAGATCTGGAGACTGGCTAGGCCACTCAAGGACCTTGAAATGCTTCTTACGAAGCCACTCCTTCGTTGCCCGGGTGGTATGTTTGGGATCATTGTCATGTTGGAAGACCCATCCACGTTTCATCTTCAATGCCCTTGCTGATGGAAGGAGGTTTGCACTTAAAATCTCACGATACATGGCCCCATTCATTCTGTCCTGTACATGGATCAGTTGTCCTGGTCCCTTTGCGGAGAAACAGCCCCAAAGCATGATGTTGCCACCCACATGCTTACCAGTAGGTATGGTGTTCTTTGGATCCAACTCAGCATTCTCTCTCCTCCAAACACGACGAGTTGTGTTTCTACCAAACAGTTCTATTTTGGTTTCTTCTGACCATATGACATTCTCCCAATCCTCTTCTGGATCATCCAAATGCCCTCTAGCAAACTTCAGACGGGCCCGGACATGTACTGGCTTAAGCAGGGGGACACATCTGACACTGCAGGATCTGAGTCCCTGGCGGCGTAGTGGGTTACTGATGGTAGCCTTTGTTACGCTGGTCCCAGCTCTCTTCAGGTCATTCACTAGGTCCCCCTGTGTGGTCCTGGGATTTTTGCTCACCGTTCTTGTGATCATTTTGACCCCACGGGGTGAGATCTTTGCGTGGAGCCCCAGATCGAGGGAGATTATCAGTGGTCTTGTATGTCTTCCATTTTCTAATTATTGCTCCCACAGTTGATTTGTTCACACCAAGCTGCTTGCCTATTGCAGATTCAGTCTTCCCAGCCTGATGCAGGTCTACAATTTTGTTTCTGGTGTCCTTCGACAGCTCTTTAGTCTTCACCATAGTGGAGTTTGGAGTGTGACTGTTTGAGATTATGGACAGGTGTCTTTTTATACTGATAACAAGTTCAACCAGGTGCCATTGTTCCGGTAATGAGTGCAGGACAGAGGAGCCTCTTAAAGAAGAAGGTACAGGTCTGAGAGCCAGAAATCTTGCTTGTTTGTAGGTGACCAAATACTTATTTTCCACCATAATTTGCAAATAAATTCTTTCCAAATCAGCCAATGTGATTGTCTGGATTTTTTTTTCTCATTTTGTGTCTCATAGTTGAGGTCTACCTATGATGCCAATTACAGGCCTCTCTCATCTTTTTAAGTGGGAGAACTTGCACAATTGGTGGCTGACTAAATACTTTTTTGCCCCACTCTGTGTGTGTACATATATAGATAGATAGATAGCTTGACAATTTTTAGGAGCCAGGTGGCGGGGCAGCATCACACACACACCTTAGGAAGCACCAGTCCTCCCAGTCCTGTCCAGCAGCGGCTCTTCCAGATGGTGTCAGTGGAGAGGATCTGGTGCCAGGAGGGGTAGCTGAGCCTGTATCCACTGTGTCGTGAGGAAGTTTGGCGCCATGCTGGAAGTGGGGCTATCCACTGTTACACAGGTGGTAGGTCACCCTCGTAACTCCGATCTGCACACAGTACTGCTCTGGGGGGAGTCGCATGTGTTGGTGGCTACCACATCACGTTGAAGGGCGGCATTGACGAATTCCGGTATACAGCGCTGCGGCCGGCCTCCCTCCAAACACTTGTCCATGGCCGCAGGAGTAGTATGGACCGGGGGATCAGTGTGGGAGGCCACATCCTCCACTCCATGGGCTCTCCGTGGGGATAGCTGTGAGATGGGAGATGAGCCTGCAGTGTCCTCCAGGGAACCGGCTCTCATAGGGCTGTGCTGGGAGTTTGGGGAAGTTCTTTGCCTGGGAGAAAATATGCACTGGAGGACTCCATCTAGACTCTGTACATGGGGAGGGAGGGAGGAGACTCCAGGGGTCCCAGGAAGCTGGACTGAGCTCAGCTCTATGGGGCAAGAAAGAGGGGTCAGCCGAGGACACGGGGTGGAGAATGGGAGAGCGTAAAGCAGTGTGGCTGGCAGGTGGGACACGGTTTCTTGGTGCCCCGGATTTATATTATATATATATATATATATATACATATATACACACACACATATATATATACATATACACACACACACATACACACACACACACACACACACACACATATATATATATACATATACACACACACACATATATATACATATACACACACACACACACACACACACATACACAAAAACAATTGAAAAATCATCCCATTGGACAAACATACCTTTATTAAAAACAAAAGACAAAACAAAGAAAACAAACATTCTAACCCTCCCTAATCCTCTTGAAGATGCAAGTCTATGAGGAAAAAGTAGCTTGGCAGGAGAGGCTGTAAACACTGGAACATGCCAGATTGTTTTACTGGGTTAAAAGTGACCCTAAACATTTTTTTATAAACTAAAATACAATATGTCTAAATATAAGTACAATGTATCTCCGATCTCTCTTTTTTTGCTATTCTCAGACTTCCTGTTCTAGGGTGGCTATGTTTGTTCTCCATGCCCCCCTTGTATATGTGAATGTAGTCATCCTTGCCTGCTACACATCTACCTACAGACAAATTTAGCTCAATGGGAATTGCAGTACACAGTTCCCCGCAGTGGAGTAAGTAACCAGAAATAACAGCACTGCTCGCTCCACAATAGCAGTGGTGAGGTGCAACAGTGGAGGACAGGGAGTGTGTGCACATGACACGGGAAAAAAAAAAAAAAAAAAAAAAAAAGAAAAGCAGAGCCATGGCATGACTGATATTTTAGAACAATGATATAAAAATATTTTAGTGTTGCTTTAAAGTAAGAAGCTAGCTTTTGGGAGGAATGCAAATGCTCATCCACATATAAGAAAGAACTCTCATTGTTAGGCTCTCTTTAACTATCAAGACAGCTTTGTGACTTCCATACACTGCATCATTATTACATCAAGGCTCCTTTCAATTTTCCCTATGCATACTTGGTCTTTGTGAATAAATTTGGGATTTGTCCTGAGAGCGATTCAGGACTAAATGGGGAATCAGAAAAAGAGAGGGGGGGGAAACAAAATTCTACTGTCATCTCTCCTCCTCCACATGAAAAAACTATTGTGGAGATGTTTCCTGCGTATCTGATGCTGTTAATCACTTTTTTGTTCTTCTGGAAGACCTTGTTTGATATACTAACTTGTTCTTTGTTTTCTGTCCAATTGTCATGTATTTATGACTGTAGATTTACAAATCTTACTGGAAAGGCTGTTTACAAGCACACAATGTTTGTTAAGTGCTCTAGTTTGCCTGTTATGGTGAACTAATCTTTTAAATAAAACATGTTTAAAGTAAGAAGCTAGGGTGTGCATTGCTTCAAATATACCTAAACCCAAAATATTTTATTTTGCTACAGTAGTTGAGGTTTAAAACCGTTTTTGGGCCATCTGTGTCTCATTAGGCAAATTTCCCTTCATTTCCTGTCCTTTGGACACAACCAGAAGAGAGGGGTATCTTTCCAATGTAAGGGGAATCCCCAATTACACCTTTGTCATGAGAACAAGCATCCCCATTGGAGGAAGTGATCTCTATTCCTGTTTTAGGGGCAACTCAAAATTTTGGGGGGATACAGGGAATAATAAAAAACTGTCAGTGGTTCTAAACTCCATGCAAATCCAAAATAAAAAAAAAAAAAAAAAGACTTTTTTTTTAGACTTTCTGTAGGGGTATTTTAAGAGTGGAACTTCATCTAATTTTGGTAAGCATAAAAAATTTTTGTACAGATTTTTATTGTTCTATGTGATTTCATTGAAAAAACTGCTCCTCATTATCCAATATTGGGACAGGAAGTGAGAAGAAGCTCTCCAGTGCAGCATTTTACTAGCAAAGAGGGGAAGGATATGAAGATCAGGTTATTGTTGCAGACAGCACACAACAAGCAGAAAATCAAAAACAAGTTCCTTTCCTTACCATCTACTCCCAGCTGTTCTTGGATTTTCTCAAAATCTGAACCTCCAACAACTCCAACCTTTACTCTTTTTCTCAAGTTCTGAAGAAAACTCTGCCATGTCATTAGTGACTTTCTAAAAGCAAATAAAGCATTAAGTCAAGTAAACAAGTGACAAATCCTTCTCATTAGTGCAAATAGATAAAAGTGACATTTACAGTGCATCCATAAAGTATTCAGACCCCCTTCACTTTTTCAGTTTTGTTATGTTACAGTCTGATACTACAGTTGTTGAAATGAATTTTTTTCTCATTAATTTACACTCCGTATCCCATAATGACAAAGTGAAAACAGAATTTTAGAAATGTCTGAATTTATAAAAAAGAAAAAACTGAAATACTACATGTACTTACAGGGGTTAGACAAAAATATGGAAACACTACATGATTTGCAGGTGTTAAAGTGACATTTTGCATTGAAAGCGGAAGTGATGTAACATTCTTTTGCTCCCGCTGTGTGATGAGACACCTAGCTAACAGGTGGGAAGCCTCACCTTTGTCAATGCGTGCGCTGCTAGTAATATGGAGTCATGTCAGAGCTTACTGAGCTTCAAAGAAAGCAGATTGTTGGTGCCCCTTTAGCTGGTGCCTCTGTCTGAAGTTGCCAGCTTATTTGCCGTGTTGCAAGGTACAGCATCAAAGGTTATGACGGCAGGTACAGTTTCCGGGAAACCGTTGTCTGATAAGCATAAGTGCAGTCATCATGGTCAATTGACCGAAAGAGACAAAAAGGACATTATACAGGATTGTGTCCCAGAATAAGAAAACAACTGCTGCAAAAGTGGCTTCAGAGCTCAATCTCAGTCCCATGACAGCACACGCAGTGAATGACAAAAGTGAGGCTTCCCACCTGTTAGCTAGGTGTCTCATCACACAGTGGTAGCAAAAGAATGTTACAGCACTTCCGCTTTCAATGCAAAACATGTCGTCACTTTCACGCCTGCAAATCATATAGTTTCCATTTTTTTGTCTAATCAATGTAAGTATTCAGTATTTTACTCAGTACTCTGTTGAAGCACCTTCGGCAGCAATTACAGCCTCAACTCATTGTGGGTATGAGGTGACAATCTTTGCATACCTGGATTGGGGAATTTTCTGCCATTCTTTTTTGCAAATTCTCTCTAGCTCAGTCAGGCTGGAAGGGAACCGTTCATGGACAGCCATTTTTAGGGCTCTCCAGAGATGCTCAAGTCAGGGCTCTGGTTGGGCCACTCTAGGACATTCACAGAGTTGTCCCTAAGCCACTCCTGTGTTGTCTTGGCTTTGTGTGCATAGCATCGTTGTTATGTTGGAAAGTGAACCTTCAGCCCAGTTGGAGGTCCTGAGAGCTGAGGAATGGATTTTCATTGAGGATATCCCTAGACTATGCCCCATTTCCCTCAACTAACTAGTCTCCCAGTTCCTGCTTTCTGAAAAACATTCCCACAGCATGATGCTGCCACCACCACCACCACCATGCTTCACTGTTGAGATGGATATTGAGCAGGAGATGAGAGGTGCCTGCTTTCTTCCAGACATAATGTTTATAATTGAGTTCAAACAGTTCAATCATGGTTTCATGAGACCAGATAATCTTGTTCCTCACAGTCCAAGAGTCCTTCAGGTGCTTTTTTTGCAACTCCAAGGGGGCTTTCGTGTGTTTTGGACTGAGGAGTAACTTCTGTCTACTACTGCTCTGTCATACCGCCCAGATTAGTGGAGGGATGCAGTGATGGTTGCCCTTCTGGAACTTTATCCCAGCTCTCTGGAGCTCAGTCAGAGTGACCATCGGGTTCTTGCTCACCTCTCTTAGTAAGGCCCTACTCCCCCGATTGCTCAGTTTGTCCAGGCAATCAGCTCTTGGACGAGTCCAGACTGTGCCAAACTTCTTCCACTTGAGAATTATGGAGGACTATGTGCTCTTGGGAATCTTCAGCGCAGCGGAAATTTTTTGTAGCCTTCCCTAGATCTGTACCTTGTAATTCTGTCTCTGAGCTCTGCAGGCATTTGCTCTGATACAGAAGGCATTGTCAGCTGTGAGGTCTTTTATCGAGAGGTGTGTGCCTTTCCAAATCATGTCCACAGGTGGACTCCAATCAAGATGTAGAAAGATCGCAGCAATGATCAAGAGAAATGGGAGGAACCTGAGCTAAATTTCAAGTGCTGCTGCAAAGGAGATGAATACTTATTCCACCACACACACGTTACAATACCCAGCGTAAGTGCCTGCCTGGCTAGTTTAGGTAATGCTCATAATACATAGGTTTGAACAGTCGAAAGCTCGTATGGTCAGACTGTAACATGGAAGGTGATCTTACTACTCAAATGTTTGACAACGTCCTTTCTTTTGGCAAGCCTATATAGAAAAAGGCGAGGAAACAAAGTGAGAACCAAAGCTGGTCAAATTGTCTCTTTTCCCTGATTAAAGCTACTAGGGATAACAACTGCCATCTCTCTATGAATAGCCCTGATCAGTGACATTCTAGGCTTTCCCCAGCCTAAGGCACGATTGCTCTAATGTCTCTTCTCAGCCATCTGGGATGTCAGGGGTCATTTTATAAGTAACTCTCCAAAGTAGCATTGTTATGACATATTTTAATATGCAGAAAAGAAGATTCGATATACAACCATTTGTGTTGTATCATTTAACTGCCACAATCAGTGTATTCAATGATAACTATTTGTCCAGACTCTGAGAGTTCTCCTCTAGCACAGGAACCACAGTGCCCAGCATGCCACACTCAGAAGCTGCAGATCCCCCACACCAGAATACAGGTACCTGCCTGGCAGCTGTCAGAGTCCCGTCCACATCAAACAGACACAGCGTGCTCCCCCGATCAGCCATCACTGCTGTCACTTTGTGTTTCTTCCGGGTAATGAATGAAGCACGTCCACATCACTATTTCCTGGTCACATGACCTTTTCCGGAAGTAACGTGCGGACGCCACATGCGAACACAGCTCTACGTGTCAACAGAGTCTGGCTGCAGAATGGAGCTCCATTTTCTACAAGAAACATGTGACCTCCACTTTCCTTTTTTTTTTTTTTGGTGTAATGAACTTTAATGTAGCAAACAAGCAGAGGCTGCAGAGTAGAGTTCCACTCGTCAGGAAACATGTGACCTCCATTTTTACCTCTGCAGCCAGACCCCTCTGTGTTGGAAGGCACATTTCCGGGGTGAGGTGTTGGAGGGGAGAGGTGTGCTGCTTGTAAAGGTATCGTGAGACTATGGCCTGTTTCCATGATACTTCTCGTGCTCGCCACATCGGGTCATTTCTGAATGTATCTATGAATGATAGCTATGTGGTGTAGTCCGAGCTTTTAACTGGTGCTGTACTGGAGGGACTGGCCCTCTTTTCGGTCTTTTATTCTTTTATGCAGATTTAGATAGAAATGTATTTTTATGCTAAATGCATTCTACTCATTAACCACTAGGCCACAGGGCACTTATACCCCTTTCCTGCCCAGGCCAAGTTTCAGCTTTCAGTACTGTCGCACTTTGAATGACAATTGCGCGGTCATGCAACACTGTACCCATATGAAATTTTTTTTTCCCGCAAATACAGCTTTATTTTGGTGGTATTTAGTCACCACTGGGTCACTTTGTTTCTATTATAAATTTTTGCAAATAGTTTTTCTCCTTCACTGATGTGCGTTGATAGGCTGCACTGAAGGACACTGATGAGGTGGCATAGATAAGCAGCACTGATAGGCTGCACTGATGAGGAGACACTGATGATGGTGCACTGATGGGCGACACTGACAGGCAGCACTGACTGATGGCACTGATGGGGGGCATTGATAATCAGTACCCCAATTATCAGTGGTGATATCCTCTGTGACAGCTGCCGGTTATCAGCAGTACTTTTCTCATGCTGCCGATAACCAGCTACTATATTTACTCTGTGATCTGCTGTGTCAGCTGATCACGTGGTAAAAAGCCGCTTTGATTGGCCGTTTACCTCATCACGGAGATCGCCGGGTGCGTGCCCCTAGGGGTGCGCAGGAGGGCACGTACTGAGAGGACGTCATATGACGCCCTCCTAGAACTGGGTAAACACGCTGTAGCTGTCAAGTGGTTAAACCTTTCATATGTTTTCAGAAGTTGGTATAATGGAAAAGTAGTTGTGAAAAAACCCTTATTTTTGTATTCATTCTTGATGGTCTCTAAGTGGGGTGTGGCAGGGGGTGTGTTCTTTGTCTCCATACTTTGTGCTGAAAGGTGCGCCTCCAGGGGGGTGGACATTTAAAAAAAAAAATACTTGTCCAAGGGGCTAAATTGGGGTCCCAATCTACTTGTCTCTCATGACAATCTACTTGTCCTGATAAAAATAATTCCAACCAAAATTGTATTTAACCGCTTTACAACTGCACTATAGCTGAAAGACGGCTACAGAGCAGTTGTCCTGTTCTGGGAGGGCGTCATATGAAGCCCTCCCAGAATGCACCTCTAGCTGCACGCACCCGACACTGTCTGTGATCAGCTGTGTCCTACGGACACAGCTGATCACATGACTAGGTAAAAAGCCAATCACAGCGGCCTTTTACGACGTGATCATCTGTGTCCAATGACACGGCTGATCGCAAAGTAAATACAGTTGCTGGTTATCGGCTACACTTTCCTCCTCACTGTCACAACATGAGGAAAATACTGCTGATAACCATCAAATGTCACAGAACAGGTTTGCACTGATAGGGCAATCAGTGCCCATCATTGCTGCATATCAGTGCCTCCTCATTAATGCCCCCCCAGTGCCGCCTCATCAGTGGGAACTCATCAGTGCAGCCTCTGCTTAGACCAATGACTTCTGCAGGTATCCTACCTTCTGAAACTTCTTTCTTTATCTCTTGGTTTTGTTATTGCTCTCTCTTTCTCTCTCTCTCTCTCTCTCTCTCTTTGTTGCATCTTTTTCTGTACATATTTTTATTGCACCATTTTGACCTTTTTAGTAATAAATCCTATTTTCTGAAAAGTGTTGAACTGTTTTTAAAGCTCTTTAATGCAAACTAAGAATCCCTGTCTCTGAAGAGTGCTACTGTGTGTTTTAAAACCTCTGTCTACATCTGTCTGCGGTGGCAGTGTGTATACAGATGCTTATTCAAACATCATAGTGTTACTGTTAAGATTTGTGAGTTTCCTCCTTCTCTGTAAAAAGGTGATAGAGGCAGTGTGAAGGGTTAATTGCGTAATTAACCTGACCCAGTAACAATCGCTCTCAGGCTGCTGGCACATAGATTGTGGTCAAGCGAGCTGGAAAATCTTTGTGCAGGTGCAGCCGAGAGTGGCATTGTTACGCAAGTGGCAGCGCGGTTTTAGATTTGCTGGTCCTGCGGTCACAAGTTGGTGAGAAGGGCTGGGGTCTGACGCCACGCTCGTCACAGTACGGTGTTGCATGACTGCGCAATTGTCATTCAAACTGCAACAGCACTGAAAGCTGAAAATTGGCCTGGGCAGGAAGTGGGTAAAAGTGCCCAGTAGGTAAGTGGCTAAATCTGAGGTGCTTTTTGGATTGTCTGGGTCTTTTTATAAACAAAAGGGGCTTTATGGCAACTTCACCTTTTCTTGTTTTTAACATTGCGTTGTTTATCTTCTCACCTCCCTGGCTGTCTCCAGCACCACCCCCAGGGAGTAGCAATGAGGAGAGAGACCTTGCAGTGTGATGAGCACTGATTGGGTGTTTGTCAGGAAAGGGCAGTGTCAGGCTATCCTAACGCTCAGCAGAAGTGTATTTGCTGAGTGAGTAAATGTGGCGCCGACCCCAATGAGAAAAAAAACTTTATTCCTTCAGGTTACCCTTGCACACGGAAACATTTGGGGGCTCAGTACAAGCGCATGCTGAGCACCAGTCAATTTCCAGTGTCTGCTCTGTTAATGGATAAGTTCACCTTGAAAAAAAATAAAAGTGCATTTTTAAAAAAAAATGTTAAGGAGCCTGTAAAGCAGATCACTGGTGCCATGCAGACTGTCAGTGTGACTGTCTGTACATCATACAGTGGGGCAAAAAAGTGTTTAGTCAGCCACCAATTGTGCAAGTTCTCCCACTTAAAAAGATGAGAGAGGCCTGTAATTGGCATCATAGGTAGACCTCAACCATGAGAGACAAAATGAGAAAAAAAATCCAGACAATCACATTGGCTGATTTGGAAAGAATTTATTTGCAAATTATGGTGGAAAATAAGTATTTGGTCACCTACAAACAAGCAAGATTTCTGGCTCTCACAGACCTGTACCTTCTTCTTTAAGAGGCTCCTCTGTCCTGCACTCATTACCTGTATCAATGGCACCTGTTTAAACTTGTTATCAGTATAAATGACAGCTGTCCACAACCTCAAACAGTCACACTCCAAACTCCACTATGGTGAAGATCAAAGAGCTGTCGAAGGACACCAGAAACAAAATTGTAGACCTGCACCAGGCTGGGAAGACTGAATCTGCAATAGGCAAGCAGCTTGGTGTGAACAAATCAACTGTGGGAGCAATAATTAGAAAATGGAAGACATACAAGACCACTGATAATCTCCCTCGAACTGGGGCTCCACGCAAGATCTCACCCCGTGGAGTTAATTTTTCTTGTACACTTATCAGCCTATAATAAAGAAATCACCCCGTGGGGTCAAAATGATCACAAGAACGGTGAGCAAAAATCCCAGGACCACACGGGGGGACCTAGTGAATGACCTGCAGAGAGCTGGGACCAACGTAACAAAAGCTACCATCAGTAACACACTACGCCGCCAGGGACTCAGATCCTGCAGTGTCAGACGTGTCCCCCTGCTTAAGCCAGTACATGTCCGGGCCCGTCTGAAGTTTGCTAGAGAGCATTTGGATGATCCAGAAGAGGATTGGGAGAATGTCATATGGTCAGATGAAACCAAAATAGAACTGTTTGGTAGAAACACAACTCGTCGTGTTTGGAGGAGAGAGAATGCTGAGTTGCATCCAAAGAACACCATACCTACTGTGAAGCATGGGGGTGGCAATATCATGCTTTGGGGCTGTTTCTCCGCAAAGGGACCAGGACAACTGATCCATGTACAGGACAGAATGAATGGGGCCATGTATAGTGAGATTTTGAGTGCAAACCTCCTTCCATCAGCAAGAACATTGAAGATGAAATGTGGTTGGGTCTTCAAACATGACAATGATCCCAAACATACTGCCCGGGCAACGAAGGAGTGGCTTCGTAAGAAGCATTTCAAGGTCCTGGAGTGGCCTAGCCAGCCTCCAGATCTCAACCCCATAGATAACCTTTGGAGGGAGTTGAAAGTCTGTGTTGCCCAGCGACAGCCCCAAAACATCGCTGCTCTAGAGGAGATCTGCATGGAGGAATGGGCCAACATACTGCCAACCAGTGTGAAGACTTACAGGAAACGTTTGACCTCTGTCATTGCCAACAAAGGATATATAACAAAGTATTGAGATGAACTTTTGATATTGACCAAATACTTATTTTCCACCATAATTTGCAAATAAATTCTTTCCAAATCAGCCAATGTGATTGTCTGGATTTTGTTTCTCATTTTGTCTCTCATAGTTGAGGTCTACCTATGATGCCAATTACAGGCTCTCTCTCATCTTTTTAAGTGGGAGAACTTGCACAATTGGTGGCTGACTAAATACTTTTTTGCCCCACTGTACATTGTACAGGCAGGCAGTTTCACACTGACAGGAAGAATCAATGACTACCAGAGCGCTCCACAGCGCCGTGGTAGTTCATTGAGAACTACAAGCTACATGTTGGTACTCATAGTTGATTCATTCACAGAATTTTGTGAATGGATGACGCGCCATGTGGGCGAAGCCCTGCAAAGCCGCGCTCTTTTCAAAAAGTGACAGTGTGTCGA